TCCCTGGGGCCCCCAGCAGAGCAGTGGGGGGGGGGGATGCTGAGACAGAGTAAACTATGTGGAAAAAACATTAGATTTCTTTCTAACTTTTAAAATAGTCCTTTATTTTAAACTTTATTATTAAAATAGTTGCAAATTTAAAACACATACACACACACACACATACATGCCTTGATAACCAGACCCAAAGACTGATTGTGAATTTAAAATATCACCCTAAATAGAAGTAGGGAAAAGTTTTTCTTTTTTATTAATCTGTTTTGGTGTTTTGGGTTCCTCCATTTCATGAGTAGTAGACATGAAATGGCCAGAGAGTCTTGCCAAAACAAAATGGCCAGATTCAATGAAAGAGCGTCTCCAAACAATAGAGTAGAGAGTAACAGAAGGAGAGAAACACAAAAGTCTACCACCTCCGGCCTCTGTGTGCACATGTGTGAGCACACACACACATCACACATCCGTATATACACATGCACATGTCATCAGAATGTAAAATGTCCAAGATGAATTAAGATGAAAAGTTTTAGTAATCACAGTCAATTTGAGCAGTGGGCGGGGCTTACAGTTTTAAGAGTGTGTGAATGTGTCACTGTGTGTTACATTTGTAGTTAGGGAATAAAGCTGTGACAACCCTCAAGAGTGTGACTCCCTGATGAGGGTTACAGCATATGAAAAGAAAGATTTGTTCTCACTTCCACTTATTAAGAAACTCAGGAGGCATGCTGTCTTCTGGGTACATGGACTTATTTTAGTTAGGTTACCAGACTGCAGTGGACTCGGCCTTCCAGAGAGGTATAATTGAAACACATTCATTTCTTAGGGAGATTTGACTCAGCACTAGGTTTTTACTAAGTTTAAAGGTTGTCTAACCTTGGAAATAAATGCTTAAGTAAAAGATGCAACACTTATAGAGTGATGGCTATCCACTCTTGTCTCTCTTGTTGAAATTAACCTTTTATTTAGTCCTAAGAATAATTTGCAATTAAATAACCCAACTATTTTTTGGCCTGACTTAAAAATTCTTCCTGTATAAGTAACTTAAGCCCCTGTACGTGTGAGTACTTCCACACAAGTGCACGCCTGAGCTTCCCTTGTGCTGGACAGAACATGTTATTTTTGTGCACCTGGGTTATGTTACAGTTTCTCGCCTTTCCTAAGATTCCCTTTTCAGAGTGCCATGGTTATCTCTGTACATTCAGTCTCTAGAAGTTGACTTTGTCAAAACTCCTCACAAGAAAGTTGTGTGTGGGAGACAGAGACAGAGACACACAGAGAGACACACACAAAGAGGCAGAGAGAGACAGAGACAGAGAGACACACAGTAACAGAGAGACAGAGAGAGATATACACATAGAGAATGTATGTGTGTATGTGTGTGTGTGAGAGAGAGAGTCACAGAGACGGAGAGAAAGAGACACACAGAGAGTATGTGTGAGTATGACAGTCTGTATCTTACACATGTCTTTATTTAGGATATAAATTTTGTATCTTTCTATACATTTTGGAAACATTTGTCCACACTTGTAGGTACTTTGTAAGCATATTTATGGAGATTTATTTATTTTGCTATTAATGGGATTATCTATTGCTATATTTACCAATAAGATTTATTTTTCAGTTCAAAGTAGTACAGTGTAATATACAGCATTATATTTAAAACCAGACAGTATTTACATCTTTCTTTTCCTTTAGTTGTGCTAGCGAGGGCCTCCAAGATAATGTGGGAAGGGCTTGTGGTAGAGGGGATGCCTACTTCCCCCTACTAACCTGCTTCTCTGCATTTATTTGAGGTAGACCTCTACTGTGTGCAAACTCTTGCAAACATGGAATGGTGCATATGGGCTCCCCCTCTCTCCTTTAAATATTTATAAAGTGCACCCCTTTAATTCACTATCTATAAAGAGCACTGTCCTTGGATTGGTAGGATAGCCTTTCATGGACATGGATAATTAAGTTTTTAGATTTTGCTAGAATTAGTAAATAGTTTTGCAAGAAAGATTTGCTATAAAGTACAGCAACAACAACAACAAAAGACAAGGGGCCCCTCCCCCGGGGACCTGTAGGGCATCCATATTCATTTGATGCTGTTAAGCATTATAATGTTTTGAACCTTAGTGTGTTAGAGCCTGTCTTCCACTCACTTTGAATTGCCTTGTTCTTTGAAAGGCTGCATTAATAATCCACTGTTGGAGAGACTGTATCATGTCTATTACCAACAACACTTGAATGATGCCATTCCTGGCCGTATGTTCTTGACTGTCTGAGGGGTAACATAGGCGTGGAGCTGATGGGACTCAGTATACACACTTCCAATTTTGATGAACTCTGCAATGCTGCAAGCAGCATGCGAGCGTGCTCACTTCTTTGCAAGCACACAAACAGGAATGTTATCCAACTTTTGATTATTTTGTTTCTAGGCCCCTCCCGCCCCTTTTTAAAAATTCACAAATGAATTCTTCTATCCTCGTAGGGAAGGGTGCCTCTGCTGTGGGTTTTGGTTGTTTTCTTCTCTCTCTCCCCTTTCCTCACTTTTTAAAATATCATTTGCAAGCATTAGGAGTGAGCTTGATCTCCAGAACCCATATTAAAAATTAAATCCAGGCAGGGCGTAGTAGCGCATGTTTTCAATCCCAGCACTCAGGAGGCAGAGGCAGGCAGATCTCTGTGAGTTCAAGGTCAGCTTGGTCTACAAAGTGAGTTGCTGGACAGCCAGGGCGGTACACAGAGAAACCCTGTCTCAGAAAAAAAAAATTAAATTCAGGTGTGAAGCTGGGCATGGTGACACATACCCGTAGTCTCAGCACTTTGGAGGGCAACCATATCTCTGTGAACTCAGGTTAACTGAGTTCCAGACCCTGTCTCACACAGGAGGAAAAAAAAAAAGCTGTGGTGTTGATATCTGTAATCCCAGTATTGGTAAGGTGAAGATAGCTGTATCTGTCTCCGTGTTGAGTTCTAGGCCAGTGAGAGACTGGAACTCAAAAAAAGAAAAGATGGTTGGCCACCGAGGAACAGTAAGAATAACCCTGGAAGGTACCTGAGGAAGTGATGTTAATGTCAGCCCCCACCCCCACCCCCGGTCGGGTTTTGGAACTGATACCCCTTAGAAGGCTGTGTAACTGTGGGGGAAGAGTGTCTGCCTCCCTTGAGCCAGCTGACAGAAATAATGGAGCTGTCCATCTCTGTCTAGTCTAGAGACACCAGTCACTAGACACCTGAAATAGACTGGTACAAATGGGAGACTGGGTTTCCTGCCTTTAAGCTGAAACGGCACACACGGTCAATGGTAACGTGGTGGAGCCTCTGATTTGTAATCACAGTGCTCTTATCTGAGCACCATTAACATTTCGGGATGGTCATCCATTTCTTTGCAGGTTGTATATTGGGCTGTAACGACTGCATTAAGGGCAGAACTGGCAGGGTCAGGTCCCTCTCTGATGTTATCCCCTTTAACACTCTGGCCAAAGAGGAACACTGACATCCGATCTTAGTCATGGCTGGGGGCCCCGAAAACGTTCCCTGTGCTCTTCACTGGCAAGTGAAACTTCTTAGGGATCTTAGCTTATTCAAGATAAGGTATAAAGGACTGTAGGCGCTGCTCCCATTTCACAGGTGACAAAGTCCGAGGTACTTGATGACCTGCCCACTGTCACATAACCAGTTAGCCTGAGAGCTCCTCACATGCAGTCCTGGGCCAATTCTTATTCCAATGCTGACAAACAGCACATGGCTCCGTCCAATGTGCAGGTGTATGCTTGCTATCACAGGCTGCCATGTGCTTTCTGTTGG